CCTCTACCTTTTCTTCTTCCCTTAGCAACTTTCTGAAAATGTATCTTTTCTCTTACTCCCAAATTGCCAGAAGTGACAGATATTCAGGACACTCATTCTATTTCAGATTTCATACCTCTGATTTGATCAATATATATATTGAGTACCTGTTACATATCCAGCATTGCAGAGGATTCAAAAGCATAACAACAATAATAATTATAAGTAGCATTCATTAAGTGCCTCCTATATTCTAGGCAGTGTGCTAAGTGCTTTACAAATATTATCTCATTTGATCTTCATAACAACTCTTAGAGGTAGATACTATTATGACCCCCATTTTGCAGTTGAGGAAACAGGAGACAAATAGAAGGTAAGTAATTTACTGAAGGTCACACAGCAAGTGAATATCTGAGGCTGGATTTGAACTCAGGTCTCTCTAACTCCAGGTTCTATCTCTTGCTCTATCCATTGTGAATAATATATGGTCTCTTCCCTCAGAGAATTTATAATCTAGTTAAAAAGACAAAACAGTCATATTAAACAATCATCAAGCCGAACAGTGTGTGTGTATGTATGTGTTTAAAACATGCTTTATTGATATCCTTTTTACATCTTAATTATTTTCAGATATAGTCTTACCATCAGTTAGGCCTATCTTGTAACAAAGAAAAACAGTTAAGAAAAACCAGCTGATAATGTCCATATCTGTTGGGTTATACAGCATTCAGAACCTATAATCTTCACTCCTCAAGCAAAAGAAGGGAAGAATATTTCAACCACTGTTCTTCCAGACTAAGACTAAGATAGTATATAATTAAGTCTTCAGTGTGTGGTCTGTGAATGTTAAATAAATGAAGCCCTTCAACCTTTGCCATCATATTTAAAAGCTACTTGAAAATCCAAGGGTCAGAACATAGAAACCTTACATTAAATGAAAATGAAAATATTGGACAGAAGAGACTTCCCAGCTCTGGAATTCTATGACATCTATTGGGAAAAAAAATTACCTTTGTTAGAAAAGTCCACAAAACCACAGACCTAAAGATATTCTTAAATGGTCTGAGGCTAGAGAAATCAGCTCCAGAGAATGAAATATAAACTAACCCAGATAAACCTCAAGTGTATGTCAACATACATGATTAGAGATGATCAAAGTCCAGATTTTGTGGGCACAAATTATAAATCAACAGATTTTGCTGGAAGAACATTTTATGGGGAGAACTTTTTCTCTGGCTGTCTCTAATAGCTTTTGCTACCTTCCTGTCTTTTATTTAAAAGAAAGAAAAGGGAGAGCAAAAGAGAACATGTAGCTATTTATAACTTTTTCAGTGACTGCACATCAGGACGGCTTTTGAGCTGAGCAGGATGTGAGGGTGGGGAGATTTCCATCCTCTACACAGTAAGTACCTGCTGGGTAAATCCCCAGTTTATAACCAGGAGAGACAGGACTCTTGTATCAGTGTTGTACAGCGGAGGTGGCAGGGGCCAAGCTGTGGTTAGGCATCAGTCTATTAAGAAACCTGGCAGGGACTTCAAGAAGTAATTCTGATTTAAATCTTGAGTTGAGAATGACCACAGTCACCTAGATACTTCCCTTTTTAAAAAATCAGCTTGGGCCAACCTGCCTTGAGTCTCAAAGAAGCAAGCCAAAGATTGTGATAAACTCTTCATCTTCCCACTTGTTCTCTATTCTCCTTCTCTCCTTCCCTTCTTCTTTACTCTGATCCTTTCTGTTCTTCTTATTTGTCCCAACAAAATGACCTTTGACCTCCCCCCAGTACTCTGAGCTATATTGTGAATATGATCCATTAATTTTCCTATCTCAGTTCTCAGTTCCTTTTACTGACTTCTCTCTCACATTATTTCTATGTAGCAAACAGAGGAATACTTTTAATTTTTTGTATTTGCTAAGATATTAATATACCTCCAGCTAGTTCTAGCTTTGGGGAGACTTGAGTGAGGCAACAAGATGACACCCAGAACAGGATTTTGATGTCTGGTATCCATGGACAAAAAACACTAATAACTAGCTTTATGTGGAACTTTAAAGTCAGCAAAGCACTTTATACATGTATTATCTCATTTGGTCCTCACAACCCTGACAGGTAGGTGTTATTATTATCTCCATTTTACAGCTGAAGAAACTGAAGCTGTGAAGAGTCATTGTCTTGCCCAGGGTCACGGAACTAGCAAATAGCTGGAGCAGGATTTGGACTCAGGTCTTTCTGACTCCAAGTCTGGTACTCTATCCATTACTCATCTAGTGACTATATCTAACCATTCTTTCATTCATCCAAAGGTTATTTATTGAGTACCTAAAAGGCAGGTAGGTGGCAAAGTGGATAGAGGCAGGCATGGAGTCCGGAAGACCTGAGTTCAAATCTGACCTCAGACGCTTATAACCTGTGTTACCCTGGACAAGTTACTTAACTCCATTTGCCTCAGTTTCCTCATCTATAAAATAAACTGGAGAAAGAAATGGCAAATCACTTCAGTTTCTTTGCCGAATAGGGTCACGAAGAGTCAGACGTGACTGAAATAACTGAACAACAACAACGAAAGGCACAGTACTAAGAATAATTGTAGGGGATACAAGAATGAATAAGACATAGTTCCTGCCCACAAAGAGCTTATAGTTTAGTAAGGTAGATAAGATGGATATAAAAACTATAATACAAAGTATAAAATGAAAGTACAATAGAAGAGGGACAAATCATGGGCCATGGATGTTCAGAGGAAGGAGACCTTTAGCTAGGCTGCGGACGGGGCAGCTTCACAGAGGATGTAATGTTGAAGTTGGGCTTTGAAGAATGTGCTGATCAGTTGAACCAGTTGTTAAGGGGAGGAACATTTTCAGGTCACAAAGTGAACGAAGAGATGGAAAGGGGAAAGTTGACGACCTGGGAATATAGGAGAGTAGAGTGGGAAGGGAGGAAATTCTGAGTTTAGCTGGAACGTGAGGTACATAAAGCAAAGTAGTGACAGATAAATCTGCCTAGGTAGGTGAGGCCAAACATTGGACGTTTTTGTTCCCAAGGTTAAGGAGTCCGGGCTTTATTCAGGGGGCAGTGAGGAGTCGTTGAAAGCGTTTTAGGGGCAGGTTAAGGGGCGATATGATCAGATCTGTGTTTAAAGACTATTAATCTATATAGGATCTGTATAGGATTGGAGAAGGGAAAGGCTGGAGGTAAATAGGCCATACCAAGCTAAGCCATATGCCCCAAACCATAGAATTTACAGTGGATAGGGACCTTAGTCAGGAAGTATTTATTGAGCACTTATTATGTTCTAGACGCTATGCTAAACACTAGGGATAGAAAGAAATGCAAAAATAGTCCCTGTTTACATTTTATTGGGGGAGAAAGCATTCAAATAATTAGCTATATACAAGATACATATAGAAAGAACAAAGTTCATCTCAAAAGGGAAGGCATTTGCAGTTGGAGGGACCAGAAAAGGCCTTTTGCAGAAGGTTGGATTTGAGCTGAGTCTTGTAAGGAAGCCAGGAAAGTTAAGAAGCAGAGTTGCGAGCAGGGAGCAGGGCATTCCAGGCCTGAGACAATCAGGACAAAGGCAAGGAGGTGGAGATAGGGTATCAAGTAGACTAATATAAATATGTTTATTGTAGAGATTGAGGAGAGGAGTAAAAGGGAAAGATAGGAAGGGGTCAGGTTATGAAGAGCCTTAAAAGGAAAACCAAAGATTTTTGTATTTGAACATGAAGATAATAGAGAGTCATTGACCCTTAATGAGCAAAAGACAGCCATAATCAGACCTATCCTTTAAAATAATCACTTTGCGTTCTTCTTTCTCGTGGTTTTCTCCTTAGGTTCTAATTCTTCTGTACAACATGACTAATGTGGAAATACATTTAAAAAAAATAATCACCTTGGCTGCTGAGTGGAGATTGACCTGGAGTAGGGAGAGACTTGAGGCAGGGAGACCAGTGAGCAGGCTCTTGCAAAAGTCCGGATGAGAGGTGACGAGGACCTGACCCAGGGTGACCGCTATGATTCTATGACTCTTTACCTTGGCAATTGGCCAATGCCTCCCTTTTCCTCATCCCTCATATTTGAAGGAGACTAGCATTTCAAGCTGCAATGATTGGCTTAATTGTGGTACTATGAACACAAATCAGGAAATTAGGAGTAATGGCTGGTTTCAGGTGAAAAAGAATGAATTTAGCTTTAGGCACATTAAGTCTAAAATGATGACAAGACCATCACCTCAAGTTTTTGTCAAGCAGAAATATTTATCAAGTATAGTAAATGGGATATCCAATAGATAGTATGAAATTAAGCACTGTGGCTTCATGATTTAAATCAAAATAATAAACTTTTAAAGAATTATTTCACTATATCAGAGACTGACAATTTTTTTCTTCCTTTATTCATCCTATCCAGAACACACCTTCTCTGGTTCTCTAGCACCATCTGGTTTGCTGAAGCCAGGTTGAAATATAGCACCATGAGGTATTATATGTGACACATGGACAGCAAAAGGTATGTCCCACTTTTTTTTTTTTGGTTGGACAAGGGAGGTTAAGTAACTTGCCTAGGGTCACACAGCTAGTAAGTGTTATGTATCCGAGGTCAGATTTGAACTCAGGTCCTCCTGAATCCAGGGCCAGTGCTCTATCCACTGCTCAACCTAGATGCCTCCAGGTATGTCCCACTTTTGCCAGATCAATTGTATTAAGTTACCAATGTGTAGATCAGCAGCCATCTACTTTTGAAATACATTAACTTTATTAATTAAATGGCCCATGGATTAGCTAAGCTATGAAAAAAATGGACAGCCATTTACTTTTTTTAAAAAAATAAAGAACTAAATCCTTAGGATTGCTGTCCCCTTCAAAAATAATTTTCCAAAACATACGGTAAAGGGTATTTTTTTTCAGTCCATGGTGCCTCGTTTGGTGAATTTTGAAAGGATGTGGTTATGGCTTTTGACATCAGAAAGGAAGCCAAGCGATGCTGACTGAATGTAGATAGAAAGATAAAAACTGGAGGTACTTAGGCTGCCTTTCAATAGTGCGTTGAGAATTAACCGTCTCCCCTTCGCAGGCTTTTTCCTAAACTTGCTTCCTCCAGCTGTGCAGAGGGGTTATGTCCAAGGTGGTAGACTTTTTCAGAGCTGGACCATGAATAACTGCATCCTTCTGGAAGAACAACTGATCAAAAAATCCCAACAAAAGAGAAGGACTTCCCCCTCCAACTTCAAAGTGCGCTTCTTTGTTTTAACCAAAGCCAACTTAGCATATTTTGAAGACCGCCATGGGGTATGTAACTACTAATTTTTCCCCCCAATTAATGCTTTAAATAGAATGTATCCTAGAGAGGATGAACTAATACTCTGAAAATGTAAAATGCACTTAAGTTTTTATAAATTATCTATTCTGTTTTTGCCAGAGTCCTTGGGAATGTATCACTTAGTTATTGTCAAATTCAGGTGCCCCAAACTTTGCCTGTAGATTGGCAAAACAAAAAAAATAGTGGGAGACATCGATAATGGGTTACCCAGAGCAAAGTGAAGAGCATGAGGCAGCTATTATCTATTCCAGAACATCACAGTTACCTAGGGATTCATCGTCAATATGATTTCCATCTCTCTTTCTAGTTCCAGTGAAAAGTTTCAGCCATCAGGTTGTTTCCATTTACCAAAAGGGCTGAAAACCATGATATTAGGTTATTATTATTTTTATTTACTGTAGGGGAGAGTACTGGAGTATCAGTATGCCTGGGGTCTAGTTCAAACTTTGTCATCTCAGTCATTAATTTTCTAGCAGGGCATTTGTTTTTAGAGTGCTTTCCAGCTTAAAGCTGCAATGGTTTTGTGAATTGTCCCTTATATGGTACTTTTTATTTTTTCAAAGGGTTTGTCATCTATAATTCTATATCTTTATTGACTCCATAATGTGGATAGACACAAGTTTTAGCTTCATTTTTATAAAAGGATATGTGTTATCATAGAATGTTAGAGTTGCAAATGGCCTTGCAGCATCATCTTGTCTAAGCCCTTTATTATACAAATGAGAAAACAAAGGCCTAGAGATGTTATATGACTTGTGAAAGGTCATGAAGATAATTAGTGGCCTCACTGGAATGGTTGGATGTCCTCCCTTCCAATCCTGTCCTCTTTTTGTTATAACATGATGGCTCCCCACGTGCTTGATGCATAACTGTCAAAAATAATGAGATGATTTTATTTAGGATCTAAACTGAAGGTTGTTAGTGTAAGGTCAAGTCCTTTGAAGTACTAGGCCCACTCCTCAATTCTCCCCAATACTGAGACAAAATCTCTAATGTAAAGTAGACAAGAGTTTTGAATGAAACCTAGCACAACAAAGCATCTGTGACTTACTGGTTGTTAGTCAACATATACATTTTACGTTAAAATTATGTGGTCTATTTTTCCAAGAGGTATACATATATGTATGTTTATATGTGTGTATGTGTATGTATGTGTGTGTGTGTGTACATATATATATATATATATATGTTCCTTAAAAAGAGAGAAAGAAATCTGCAATAATTGAAGACAAACATTGGGATTAAAGCATTGTGATGGGTACTGTAGAAGATCATAGCCAGGTTCTCAGTCTACATGATAAGATCTTAACCTTTTTTTGGTTTTTATTGTATTTTGATAACTTTGTTTCAATGTAATTAATTTTCTTTGAAACCCTATGTATTATATTTTATGCATTTAAAAATATTATCCTGAGAAGGAATCTGTAAGTTTCACAGACTGCCAAATGAATCCTTGCCCCCCCACAAAAAATTGAGAAACCAGGTACAAATAGTTTATTCAACTGAGCTAAGAAATAACATAATATAGCTATGTTTTTATTTATTATAAATGGTACCTTTTATTTAAATTCTTGTTTCAAATTACAACAGTAGTTCTTGGCTCTTAAACATGGTTTATATTTTATACTCATTACTTCTTGTTTGCTCCATATAACATTGCCTTATTGAGCAATGAAGTTAGACATTATTGCATTAATCAGGCATAAAAAGTGCCTTGAGGTTACAATTTCTAAATAATAGCCCATCCTAATGGTCTTGAATCAGGCTTTACTCCTTAGAAAACATTTTCTAAAGGCAAAACTTAATTATGTAGAAAATTCTTTAGTACACAAGGACAATTTGTCAGTCCTGGGAAAGAAATGTGCCAGCTAAATAAAGACTCCTTGTCGAATACCAAGAACATATTGTCATTACTCCAAAAGTTTATTGTTTTCTTGTGCTTATAATACACGAATGTAAATAAGGTAACTTATTTTTTCTTAAAAATATACAGTAAAATACAGAGTAATTTGTCTGAGATCACAGTGGGATGGTTAGGGTAAGTTAATTATGGTTTCCTCTTACCCTTCTCAGTTCTTAATGCTAAAGCTACTGTCTCCCACACAACCTACTCACTGTGGACCACGTAACATTAATAGCAACATTGTCATTAGGAGCATTCTCAAGATTTCATTACATATGATCACTCAAATTCTCCTTGAAGTCACAGAATCATAGATTTAGAGCTGGAAGGGACCTTAGAAGTAATCTTGTCCAGTCCCTTCATTTTATACCTGAGGAAACTGATGCCCAGAGAGTCACAAAGAGGGTAAGTAGAAGAGGTAGAATGTGAAACAATATTCTCTGCTGCTAAATTTAATACACTTACCACGATGTCATACTAGGAAATGATCTGAACTTGTAAATTTTTAAGTGAAAGAAAATGAAAGCCAAAAGTTAAATGGCTCCTCACAGTCGCAGCCTAGTGACACCAAGAGTCACTAGGAAAGTTGATCTCAATTCTTTCCATTAATATAGCTTAAATATAGCTTTGTGTGTGTGTGTTGTGTGTGTGTGTGTAATTTACAAAGTTAAATAGCCACTTTCATAGAACCATAAAATTATCAGCTGTAAGGGTCCTTAGAGCATTAAATATCCGAGATGGAGAGGATCTTCAAAAATAGAACATTGCATGTCAAAACTGGAAGGGTTCTTTGAATGTAGTATTCATGCTAAGAGAGACCTTAGAACATGGCATGTCAGAGCTAGGAGGAATATTCACTTATGCTGATCCTTCTTGTCCTTTTAGAAGAGCATTCTATATGGAAAACCAATACCTCATAACCCTCTACATAGTTTAAAAATTTTAATGAGTTTTATAATTTATTTTGTTATTGTTCAATCATTTTTCAGTCATTTTCAACTCTTTGTGACCCCTTCTTGAGGTTCTCTTGGCAAAGATATTGGAGTGTTTCGCCAATTCCTTCTCCAGCTCATTTTATAAGTGAGGAAAACTAAGGCAAATGGGGTTAAGTGACTTGCCCAGGGTCACACAGCTAGTGTCTGAGGCCAAATTTGAACTCAGTTCCCTGATTCTAGGCCTGGTGCTTTATCCACTGAGCAATCTGGCTGCCCCATTTTATTTATAGAGGTCTTTATATCAAATAGGGAATTTAAACAATGGGTATATCATGGGTTGCACTAGACTGAGACTCAGGAGACCTGGGTTATAGTCCCAAAACTACTATTAACTAGTCAAGTGATCTTAGGCAAATCACTTCCTCTTTGTCACCCTCATTTTCCTTCTCTGTAAAATAAAGGAGTTTATCTGGATGAGATCTACCATTCCTTGACAAATCTACTATTCTTTGGTTCTATCTAGAATCCTAGAACAAAATCACTTTAAAGGATGACTGCCTTTCCTCAGAGGTTATTTTGGTGAAGGGAGCAGGAAGATCCCATGATGCCTGAAGAAAAGGGGATCCAGAGAGGGAGAAAAGGGATACGGTGAGGGGGGGTTGGCCCACCAAAAACAAATTTCTGAAGTTCACAAGTACACAATCCTAAGTTTTCTTCAGAACTACTTCTTCTGGAAGACCAAAACTAGCCTTAAAAAAGTGTTGTTTTTTTTTCCCTTTAATGTTCTTTCCCTTTTGCACTGGAGTTGTCAGGTGATGAATTGTGTCCCCTTGCACAAACAGGAGTTTAAACACCAACACCAAATAGCATGAGCATTTAAGTTGAGCTTTGAAAGGACCACAATTTTGATTACAGTCAACTCAGGGATAGCAACATTACTCTGAGACTCATAGAATTTTAGAACTAGAGTCCAACCCACTTATTTAGCAGGTGAGGAAACTGAGGCCAACAAATCTAAAATTAATTACCCAAGGCAGTGTTAAGATATCTTGGACTAGGGAATGAAAAATTTCCCTTGAATAATATCAGGAGGTTTGGGTTCTAATTCCAACTCATTGGATGATCTCTGAAGTCCCCTCCAGCTCAGACACTCTCTAGTTTATTAATTTCTACTACTACAGCCTGCTTGGAAAAAGCACTGACTCTTTCCTGGGTTACAATCCCATCTCTGAGACTTTCTATTTGTATGACTTTAGGCAAGACACTTAAACTCCTGGGCCTCGGTTTCCTCATCTTTAAAATGAGGGAGTTGAGCTAGATGGCTTCTGAGGTCCTTTCTTAGATCTATGATCCTTAAGAATTTATACTATTTTATCTTTCCCCAGCTCCTACCACACAGTAGGCACTTCATAAATGTTCATTAATTGATTCTATCACCTCATAGATTTACCATCTAATCCAATATCCTCATTTTATGGATGATGAATGACAAAATGACCTGCCCAAAGTTACCTAGTCAATAAATGACAGAACCAGGACCCAAACCCTGGTCCTCCAACTCCAAATCCAGTGCTCTCCCCAACCATGTTTCACAGGAAAGTTTTTTTATTAAATTATTTATTTTATTAAACCCAAAGCCTAGAGAAGCATGAGCTAATACATAATGGAGATTTGCAGTTTTGTGCATAATCCTTTTTTTTCTGTTTTACTATTCATATGGAAACAGATTTCATTTGGAGTTTGCTAAGTTGATGATTAAAAAATTTTTTAATGGTAAAAAAATGTGAGCTAATTCCAATTATTGTGTATGCAGAGATTTCTCCACTGCCTCTCTCTGAGAGAGAACTTGTGTGTAATAGTAGTAGTAGTAATTATAATATTAATAATAACTAGAATTTGTATAATGCTTACTGTGTACCAGGTACTGTGCTGAGTGCTTTATAAATATTATTTCATTTGATCCTCACACCAATCCTGAGAGGTAGGTGCTATTGTTATCCCCACTTTACAGATGAGGAAATGGGTAAAGGTTAAGACCTTGTACCCAGGGTCACACAACTTGTAACTATTTGAGGTCAGATTTTAACTCAGGTTTTCCTGACTCTAAGCTTAGCCCTCTATCCACTGTGCC